TCTATCTATCTATCTATCTCTCTCTCTCTCTATCTCTCTATCTCTCTCTTTCTTTTTTTCTCTCTCTCTCCCTCTGGTGAAAAAAGTACAGGTGCATCCTTTCAAGGCTACAAAGAGCGCAGTGCAGCACGAGGATATCTCCTTGGCAGTTTTGACCAGCACATTTTGTCCTCCCTTTTCCTTCCGCTAAATCCACTAATTAATGATAGTTACTCTATCGATATGCTCCTCTTTACTCAAAAGTTATACCAAAAAAACCAAACCAACACCCAATAAAATCACCGTCTGGAGGGTCAAGGTCACGGCTAACACCAGGTCACACAGATGATGTGTCCAGATAAGTCTGCAGCCCGATGCTTGGTACCCTGAGAGATACATGTAATACACACGTGCAATCAAAAACGTCAAGACTCAAATTCAAAAGAATGTATGTTTTACTCAGTCAAAAATTAGCAGGCCTACCCTTTTTTAACGCCAGATTAGAAATTATGCTCTTCAGCGAGCATGCTGAGGACGTGAGTTCGCTCCTTATATTGTTTAAAAAATATTTTATTATGGTTTTACGGCGCTCGCAACTGCATAGGCTAAGGATGAGCGCCAAGGGGTGGATGTCAACAGAGAAGTCTAAAGGGGGGAAAGGCTAACTCTGCTCACCTCTCTAGCCCCAACAGCACAAAGTCTTTTTCGACTATCAAGGCTCCCCGGAAATAGCAGTTCACAAGAGAATGGCTAACATACAAATAAATACAAAAGAAGTACGGTTGAGGAAAAATGACGATAGTAAGGATGAGGAAAGAAAAAGCAGCAGTTCCCCCTGTGATATGAGCATGACATCGATAAATCAGCCCTTCTACAATTCTACTGTGCATAAGAACGTGTTAATATCCCCCCTTTGGGAATGGCCTAAAGACAACTTCAGTCAATAGCACTGCCCTGGTGGTGTTGGGGGGAAAGGGGAGGGGGGGGGGAGAAGGATACCAAAATTTCGTCATCTCCGTCCTTTTACTAAAATGCTGCATTTCACACAATCTGAACCACGGAGTGAGTGGTAGGAGGGTGTCAGTGATAGGTCCTGCTATATTTTTTTCTCCTATATACACGTATTATTGTTTTTGTCTGTCTGTGGGGCTTTTCTACTGCACTAAATAAAAATATAATTTTTTCGTTTCGATGTGCTTATCTATCTATACATACTCAAATACCCAGAGTTGGATGAATGGAAGCAGCCTGCTTTGCAAGTTCTCTACACTGTCCGCTCTGAGTTGTAAAAGTTGTTCAACTTTTTATGACTGGATCTCTTAGTCCGGTGATAGCGGACACAGGCACAGGCGTGGGGGTTTAGACTAGTTAGAGGGTGCCACATATAGGTCCTATTTCTTTCTTTCCACCCTTTTGTTTCTGTCTGTCTGCCTTACTTTTTCTCAGCACTAAATGACCATTATTCTGTCGATGCGCTTCTTTTTACTCAAACAAACAAAAACCATAGACAGGTAACGTGAGGGTGGTTGGCGGGTGGTTTGTTTCTTCTTTCCTATAAAAAAAACTGTCATCCTTATCTCATTCCCTTCTTTTTTGTTTGTTACTCCCTTGTAACGCCTTTATTCTTCTGAACTAATATGACCTTATTCTGTTGCAAGTGCCGTAAAACGCTTACAGGTAACGTGTAATTTGCCAAAGCTATGACACAGCCCTCTGTCTAAGCTACTGTCGCTGGGTCTCGCTGGGTCTCTCCACGTTGGCCAGAGTCCGAGATTTGGACGGGTCCATGAACTCTTTCACTTCCGGATTAGGCTCTGTTAGAGGGCATGTCTTGAGGAGGGAGTTTTGCGCCTGGCGGAAGAA